TATAGCCGGAAGGTTCTCTGTTCCCGAGTTCCTCTGGTCCCACAGCCGCTTATAAAATAATCACTCAGAGGCTTAATATTATTTACAAACTGTATGGTCTATGGCAGGCCTCTTGCTGGCTAGCTCTTATATCTTAAGTTAACCCATTTCTATTAATCTATGTTTTGCCATGTGTTCCGTGGCTTACCGGTCTGCTGGCATGGTGTTCCTTGGGCGGCAGGCTGGCGTCTCTCGACTCCTCCTTTCTTCTTCCTATATATCTGCTTAGATTTTTCCGCCTGCCTCTAAGCTGCCTTGCCATAGGCCAATGCAGCTTATTTATTAACCAGTGGGAACAACATGTATTCACAGCATACAGAAAGACATCCCCAATACCCCATCAAAATAGGAGAAGCATGGTGGTAGGAGGTGCTGGTCACATTGGATCTAGTCAGGAGTGGAGTATAAACAGGAACTCAATGCCTGCCCCCAGTGACCCACTTCCTCCAGCAACATTCCACCTTTTAAAGGTTCCACAACCGTCCCAAACACAGCAAGAGGACCAAGTATTCAAATATAAGAAGTGATGAGAGGCATTTCACATTTAAGCCATGGCACCAAACTGGGACACAGGCCCATGGAATGGTCCACCTACAGTTAGGATAAGTCTTCCTGCCTCAATTAACCTAATCTAGAAACTCCTACAGATAGAGCCAGGGGTTAGTCTCCTAATTGATCTAGGTCCTGCCAAGTTGACAATATTAACCATCATGATAAGTATAAAATCCATAGTTTGGGCCAGGCACACAGGATCTGCAAGCACTATGAGCAACAGTCCCCTAGAGAATGCTAGTTCCATGACCAGAAGAATTGTCATATTTACAATGATAAACTTATTTTTGTTGTGGGGATATTTGTACAATATGTGAAGATGTATTGCTGTGGTTGGTGTAATAAAAAGCTAAACAGCCAATAGCTAGAAAGGAGAGTATAGGCGGGACTTCCAGACAGAGGGAGAACTCTGGGAAGAAGAAGGCAGGGTTGCCAGCCAGCCTGGGAGGAAGCAGGATGGGCAGTACAGAGATGAGGTAACAAGCCTCATGGAAGAATGTAGATAAAAAAAATATATGGGTTAATTTAAGTTATAAGAACTAGTTAGGAACAAGCCTAAATTAAGGCTGAGCTTTTAATTAATAATAAGTCTCCATGTCATTATTTGTGGGCTCGAGAAAGAAGTACTACAGGTTCTGCCTATTGGACTGAGTTAAACCAGAGCCGCAGATCCAGTTTCCTGGCAGACAACAAAAACGAAGGTGGAAAGTGAGCCTTTGCGATCATCCAGGATCAACTGTCTCCAGACGGTGACAGAGTTGACTCTGAAGTCATGTTGTTACCAAGTGTGTTGTCCTCTTTCTGTTACTCCAACAAGGACATGAGATAAATGAACTTTCGGGAAAGGCTTATTTTAGCTTACAGTTCGGTTCAGTTACTTTTGGACCACAGCTGTCATGGAGGAGATACCCCCAGTAACCCTAAATGTTTCCTGCACTTTCCAATTGCACCAAGCAGGGAACCAAGCCTTTAACACACCCATCTCCAGACAACAGCCTCAATTTAAACTATAATAGCAATCCTTGTGGTTTGATAATGTTTTATTTATTAACTATGAGTTGCTACTCAAAATAAATATTTTTTATTCCAATTAAATTACACAGTCTGTATTGCCTGTCTGCTTTACTCATCACAACACTGAAGATTATGTGTTCCTTCCCCATGTCCTGACATTCACTGTTCCAGTGCTAAGGCTTCCCTAAGGACATCTCAACCATAAACATAGGTTTAGATGAGGCAGAGGAGTTCTGTGAGTTCAAGGCCAGCTTGCCTAAGAGCAAGTTCTAGGACAGCCAGAATGACACAGAGAAACCCTGTCTCGAAAAAACAAAAACAAACAAATAAACAACCCCCCCATAGGTTTAGATGAAGGAAATACAGCTCAAGGTAGCCATCTCTGAAGGGCTGCTTAAACCTGTGTTGTAGTAGGAGTTAGATGACTAGCAATGACTTTAACAGCTCATGGCCCAAATATACTTTAATAAAGAGTGACCACTGATTCATTGTGCAGGACCCCTTTCAGTCACCAAGTATCCACAGTAAGCACTTCCGGTATGCCAGGCACTGTTCACAGGATGTTATTAGCAAAGCATAGGTTTCTGACCTTGTGGAACTGTTATTTTGATTGGGGGGGGGGAGATACAGCCTAATAAATTAAATACAGTGTCAGATGATAATGAGAGCTGTGGAAGGAAAAGCGGATCAGGTACAGGAGGACAGACTCGGGTGAAGACAGCAGGTTTAGGGAGTCACCTCAGGGTAGGGACATCCAAACAAGACTGAGGCAGTCATGGTGTGGGGACCCAAGCCTTTAGTCCCAGGCAGGTGTATCTCTGTGAGTTTGAGGCCAGCCTGGTCTACAAAGCAAGTTCCAGGACATCCATGGCTGTGACACAAAGAAAACCTGTCTCAGAAAACCAAAAAAGACTGAGGTGATGAGCTAGATCACGGTTTTCTGAAAGGGTCTGGCACAGAGGAACTAACTTGAGAAGGCCCTAAGGCCCTAAGGCAGGATGGCTAGTAACAAAAGAGGGAGTCCAGGAAAAGCTTTAGATACCACTGTGAGGTTTCGGTATTTTCTTTTGAGTAAAGAGTGGAGCGATGATACGAGGCATTTTTAAAAGGTCATCGTGCAAAAACAGAAAACAGCTTTAAAGTTCATCTCCTCCAGAAGCCTCCAAATACTCAGTTTGTCAGCGGCCACCACACACCCCCTTTTGTCTCCCGTGCCACATCTCTCACTAACCCTTCCACTTTTCTGGTGGCTCTGTGTCAGAGGTAAGGAAAAGGAGATTGCGTAGGTTGTGACTTGCTCCAGGTTTGGATGAAGTGAATACAGCGCTGGAGTAAGGCACCCCTGAAGGGCTGCTTCAGCCAGGCTGAGTACCCCAGGATTCAGGAAGTGAAGATGTTGGTGGTCGGGGAGTGGCACACTTGTGGGCCAATCACCACACTTTCCTTCATTTTAAAATTCGACACCCATCTTACACACGGTGCACCTTACGCGTATAACTGATTTGATTTCTAACTTTGCAGTTTGAGCTATATCATGGCAGTCTGTTAAGGTTTTGGCTCTTAAGGAGACAGGGCACATCCCTGAACCATCTTTTCTCTGGAAGATTTCTTTTAAACCACAGTGGCTTAAACCTTCTCAGGCATTGCTGCTGTACTTCTGAGCCCACGGAGCTGTGAAGAAAACACAGAACCTGAAAGTGTTAATTTATTTTAATGTTTAAAGAGTATTATATTTGTTAAATCTAATGATGAGTTTAAGTTTGTTTTCAGTTCAAACATTGTATTCAGTGTTTGTACTTTTAACTGCATTTATCTTCCTATATACATGCATTCTTCTTCTTCTTCTTCCTCCTCCTCCTCCTCTTCTTCTTCTTCTTGTTAGTATTTAGGCATCTGTATTGGCCTGCCCTTAAGGTCCTGACAAGATATATCCTCAGCTGCAAAAGGCGGGCTTTGCCAACCTCCTGTCTCATTCTCTTTCTTCGCTCTGCCCAGGAACCGGTCTCTGCCCCCTTCTCTTCCCATTCTCTCCCCTCCCTCAATAAACCTCCCACGTGGGCCGCTGTACGGTGTGACTCCTTCCCGCCGTTTTAAAAATTATAACAATTATTACTATTTGATGGGTGTTTTGCCTGGTGTCCATGGAAGCTAAAGAGGGCACTCTATCCTCTGGAACTAGAGTTACAGATGGTTGTGAGCAGTCATAAGGGTGCTAGGAGTTGAACCAAGGACTCTGGAAGAGCTGCCAGTGCTCTTAACCACTGAGCCATCTCTCCAACACTCATTCTGATATTTTGACTGAGAAGCTGACTACCCAAAGACAATGGCCTGACCATACCTAAAACAGAATGTGACCCACAACTTGCACAGAAAAATAGCTCTTTTCTAAAACAGTCTAGGAAGTCAGACTGTGGCTAACAATCCAAGAAGCTAAACAGTAATATGTCCAAAACAGCTGGATCTTCATATTTCCCTAATTTAGTCCCTGCAACTCACTGCCAAACTGGGGAAGGCCAAAGAATATGCTTTCCAAGACAGATCACATAGGATCCCTCCAGCTCTGTCCCGCGGCTCCCAGCTTCCCTGGCAAGCAGCCTCCATTGGCTGCACACTAGGCCAAAAGGCAAGTGCAGGCAACCCCCACCCCGTCCCCGCATAGTAAGCGCTGAATAAACAGCTTTGCTTATTTTCCCTTGGTCATTGGGCGATCACTAAGTTTTGTTTTTAATTTTTTAATGTTTATATGTATGAATATTTTGTCTGGGTGCTTGTGCACCGTGCACCATGTGCGTGCCTAGTACTGGCAGAAGCAAGGGGACTTTGGATTTCCTGGAACTGGAGTTAAGGATGGTTGTGAGTCACCACGTGAGTGCTGGGACTAGAACCCCGTCCTCTGCAAGAGCAGTAAGTGCTCTCAACCGCGGAGCCATCTCTCCCGCCCCATCACTGACCTTTTAATAGATAAGGACATACTTCCCCACCCCACCCCACGACACCCCACGGACACTGAATGTTTGGGAGAAGCAGTGCAGTGCTATCAATAACCAAAGGCTTATCTCCGATTCTCCATCCAGCGAAGGGGAACAAACACTGCCTGAGGGATCCCGGTCCCCATAGGGCAGGACCACGGCGGCCGGAGAAAGAAGAGCACCCTAAGCACGCACGGCCGGACAGAGGGCGAGGCGATCGCTAGAGCCCTCGGCATCAAGAGTAAATGCCTGAAGGTGAGAGGGGCAGACGTTGACGCACAAGGGCGCACAGAGCTTCCGCCCGCTCCTAGAGCTCAGCTCTTGCCAGCTTTACCGCTTCAGTGCCCGGGTGTGGGTGGGGCTTCCTGCCCTCTGTGCACGCGCACTCGGTGCGACGTCACGTCCGGCGGCGGGACTTAGCAGCGCGCTGGGCGAGCTGTCCCCGGGAAGGCCGGAGTGGGTGTCCCGTGGCATCGCTCCCCTCGCTCGCTCCGCCCCGGCGCTTGTGGTTCCGCCTTTCCGCCTGTGGCTCAGCGCGCCCGGCCTGCTCTCCGCTGCCTCCCCAGATCTCTTAGTCTGAACCCCGGTGTGTTTGCGTACAGAGGTGAAGCGTACATAGCCGGGAGAGCGGGGTCTGGGGCTTCACCGGGTGCCGGCACCTTACCCGCAGGTGGAGGCACCTGGGCAGGAATTGGCAGCATGTCCTTCAGGGCGACGCCTTTGCCATCAGAGTGCAGTCTCAGAAAGGCTGTCCGCAGACAACAGGGGCCACGAAGGCTTAAAAAAAAAGTCCAGAGCTTGCATTTTAGTGCTTTGGATTTTTAAAAACAGCTATCAGGAGAGCGTGGAACTCTTTAAAAGCAATTCTAAATTCTAAATTGCTTTTTCAAAAATGAGTTATAATCCTTCCCATGACAGAATCTGTTCAGATGGTATCTTCCCGACCCAAAGAAGTCCATCCTCCCCTGGTCATTGGGGACGTCTCGGGGGCATTTAGTAGCTGATGACTGTATTCTTTGGAAGAATGTTTGCATCTTTAGTGCCTGACTCACTAACCTAGTTTGATTTTTTTCTTGGTTTACCATCAGTATCACGAAGACTGTTCTGGAGGAATGATGGGCCTCTGAGATGATTTGAATGCTCATGCCGGGTTTTACTTCGGCTTTCTGCCTTCCATTGACTGTGGTGTGTCTGTCACTTGTCATCTGTCTACATTCCTGACTGTCTTCTGGTTATACTTTAATGCTGTTTATCTGTTGGAGGTTTTGAATTTTGATAATTACATTTGGCAGAATTGTGTTTACAGTAGAAGAAAAAAATAAGTGGAGGACCCCCCCCCCTTCCATTTCCCCAAATCCCTGTTTAGAAAGCACAGCTAAGGAAAACACAGAAAATGAAAGTCACTAGACTCCTACCTGAGGATAACTGTTGCTAATATTTTGGATGTCCTCTTATGTTAAAAAAAAAAAAAATGCTTTTCTTGAGCCAAGAGTGGTGGCCCACACATCTTATCTCAGAACTCAGGATTCAGAGGCACAGATCTCTGAGTTTGAGGCCAGCCTGGGCTACTTAGTGAGATCCTAGTTGTGAGATCCTGGATGCAGAATCAGAATTCATACCCTTATTTAGTCCCTTTTACATAACATAACCTGCCTATTTTTCCACTCATCTTTTCTATTCACAAGTTTATAATGGCTACAAGGTATGTCATTGTGCTAAGGGCTCTCTTGAGTAAAGAATGAGCCCTAGTCTCTACATTCTACATCCCCTTTTTAAGTAGCTTGGATGACAGCTGACTCATATCTTGTTTTTGATCAAGATGCATAAGGAAGGTGGGATTAGAGTTGTGTGAATTCAAAGATTTAGTGCTCCTTGCTTAGGGGCAGGCAATTTTTCATTTTTGATTTATTGAAAAGGCAAAGAAAATCACTTTATGCCTTCCCAATTTTTCTTTCTTTGGTTTTAGGCACACTAAAAAAAAAAAAAAAAAACTCCCTCTAAGAATGAAATATGACTGATGATTCTCAGAGAAACTTTCGATCAGTCTACTATGAGAAAGTTGGGTTTCGTGGAGTTGAAGAAAAGAAATCACTGGAAATCCTCCTGAAAGATGACCCTTTGGGTGAGTATTACCCGCTCCAGCTTATTGGTTCTCATCAGTCCTGGTGGGTGTTACCAAGTAAATATTACCTCAATGGACTCAAAGCAGTACTTATTACTTGGCTGTAGTTTTTGGTGAAGGGACACGTCAGAGTGGTAAATTTGAGAAAAGTTGAAGATTTTTCAAATTCAATGAGAGGCGAAAGGTTTGCAAAGCTTCTTACAAACACTGCAGAGTGTGGTGATGCAAAACTTTGATGACAGCACTCAAGAGGCAGAGGCAGATGGATCTATGAGTCCAAGGGCAGTCTGGTGTGCATGGAAAGTTCCAGGACAGCCAGGGGATGCATAGTAAGACACTCCCACCTTTAAAAAGAACTCAATACTATTTTTTTTTAAAATAAGCCTATATATTTTCTCTCAATTTCTAGATGTATCACCATGATTTCTAGGTAAACTCTGCAAGAACTCTAGTTATGATTTTTCTTTTGTGAAAGATAATTCTTCATTACACATTGATATTTAGTTTATCTTAAGCCAACAGTAATAAAGTCTGTTGTTACAGTAAAACAGAACCATAGTATAAAAACTTAAGTTGTATGAAGTACTTGTTGTTGGCAGAGCTGGGAATGGAACCCAGGACCTAGCACATGCTAAGATGTGCTCTGCCACTGAGCAACACTGTATCCCCACCCAATTCTGTGTTTAGTAAGTACTGCTGATGTTGGAGGGAGTGTAGTAGATGCAAAATCCATGTCTATGCTGCAGCAGCGCTGTTTTAGATAGCTTAGTTGGTAGAAGATGTGGGCTAGCCATGAGATCACTATGGCCTCTCCCAGGTTTGCTGATCATGCAGTGGATTTCTCCTGAAGGTATGTCTGAACTAGACTTTCCGTTTGAAGTAGTGGAACTGCACTTTCGGGTGCTGCGAGCCCATGGGACATTTCTTCCACTTCCTAATTGTTCTTTTTCTTCCTTTAGACATTGAGAAGCTTTGCACCTTTAGCCAGAGGTTCCCTCTCCCATCCATGTACCGCGCATTGGTCTGGAAGGTGCTTCTAGGTATGAGGCCCGTGAGTTGGGGATTCAGTTTCAGAAGTATTGAATGGGATCCTTTGTCAGTCAGATCTTACAGTCAGAAGCGGAGGACTTGCTTAGATTCTTTGCTGACTTTCAGGTCTTCTCCAGGAGGGCCATTTACTGCTCACTGTAAAATCTTTTAGGATAGTGACTTCAGCAGAATTATACTAACAATTGCTCTTGGAGTGTCTGCTTATTAGTGGCAGTAGAGAAGATAATATTCATTCCTGAAATAAAGCCTTTGTGCACTCGGGTGTCTGGTGGGTATGTGTGGTCATCATCTGTAAAAGTGATGACATTGGGTTGGGATAAAGGAGAACTAGCCATCTTTGCTGTCATCTGGGTAACCAGGAGGAAGACCATGGTGGGCTCCAGTTCTGCATCTGTTCAGAGACATCTGGAGCTAAATTACTTGTAGGTTTTACTTAAGAGTGCCTTGTACTCTGGACTCTTGGTGGTAGAGGTATGAGGTCCTGATGCTAAGGAACTAGCCAGGCTTAGTGGTGAGTGTCCGGATCCTTAACCTTTTGAGGGTCTTAGAGCTTGAGGCCTTGGGCTGGACTATGAGTGTCAGGAGAGCTTTACCTCAAAACGGGACACCCCTGTCCCCACAAGAGGAACCATATTGACAAAGGATTGGAGAATGTGATTCGTTTAAGTGCATGAGTGTAGAGAGTTAATAGTCAAAGAGTAAGTTCTAAAACAGCTTCCTCAATGGTGTTTCCAGAGAATCAAGTGTTTATTCATTGGTCTGTGCCACAATTAATTGACTCGGTCTCTTACTGAGGTACGTAAATGCCCATTTACCTTTTGAAATAAAAGTGATATGACAGATTTTCTTAAAAAGTAGGATCAGAGGTTTTTTTGTTTGTTTGTTTGTTTGTTTCCTGCCTATTTCTGTGAGTGAATTCCAGAGCTGGGTGTTGAAGTAAGAAGGAGAACTGGATCTGTGTCTGCCATAAGCAGCCAGCTCACAGCATCCCTTTGAGTCCAGGATTTTCACCATCATTGCTGAGCCTGCTGGAGCATCTAATCCCCATTCATTACCACCCTCCATTTCTTCTTTGAACAGCTGGGTTTTACTAACTGGGATGGGGGTAAGGATGGAGCTTTATGCAGAAGTTGAACTATCGCTATTTATTGGGCATCCGTGGGTTCCATGACTAAGTCAAATAGTTTATAGAAATTATGTACAGTAATTCTAGAATTCTGAGGGAAGTCTTAAATATCCTAGATGGACACACACCCTAGGAGCCTAAAAAATCTTGCCTAATGCCTGTGACAGACAAGGAATGAAAGCCTATGTTTGTAGAGCTCATTTGGAGGATAGGAGTGGGGTGGGGTTAGATAACAGACCACGGGCTCCTTTTGTAGTGTATTTACACAGCCTGAGAAGTCGGTAGCCGTCAGTCTGGCCATGCAGTATGGAGGTCACAAGGGCATGCAAGCCAGTCTAGAAAGTACTCCATGATAGCTTTTGGTTGAACATCTTGGCAGCGTTGGTGCGTCCCTTCATGTCTGGTTGGGTGTGTGTGCTGACCATCTGCAGAATTCCTGATAACTGTTTAAGTTTTCCTCAGAGCATTTTCCCCTTGAGCTGTACGTAAAGACTCTGTAGTCAGCAAAACAAATTCCTTCTAAGGGTGCGTTTTAGGCAGTTACCATCAGTGTCCATTTCTTCTGGGCGTCCTGTGTCTCACTAATGAGAAGTGGTGTGTCTGTGACATTTCCTAAGTACCGAGGCCCAGCTGGCTTTTCACCTTGGTTTTTCTTACCTTCTTTATTGTCTGGGCCTCCGCTGTTTTCCTGCCATAGTTAGAGGCAGAAAATGCAGAGTTGTCACAGTAGAAAGGACTCTTCGGAGCCCAAGCTGGGTTGCTTTGGGCTCTGGGGATGCTTCCTCTCTAGTACCATTTTAGGGAAATGTCCGAGAGAGCTTTGGGGATGAACTCTTAGACCCAGGTCTGATGCTTGACATTCTGCTGCCTATGGTAGGTCCAACTATAGCTCTGTAGTGTACCAGCCAGATGGGGAGGACACGGAAGTGTGTTCCCTTGACTTCTCTGAGGAGCTGGCACAGAGCCCCGAAGACACACTGAGTTTACATCAGGAAAGGGCACTTAAGCGTGCTTTATGGCTGGGGATTGTTGAGTTTGCCTAACTGCTATTTCCTGGAACATTCTTTGGGATAATTGGTCTGTGGGGTTTTGCATCGAAAGGGAGTCCCAGTCAACTGAACTGCCCGACACGCATGTGCCAGCTCCTCTTCTGAGTGCGTTATGAATTTGTCTCTTCCTCTCAGCAGCTTGTAGAAGTAGGTAATATTATCTGATTTTCCTGTGGGGAGAAGATAAGGCACAGGAGAAAGGGAATTGCTGAAGATCTTCAAGTCAGTGAATTGTAGTTAGACCTCAAGCCCAGTGTCTTGACCCCAGAGACTCTGTCCAGCCTCATTACATTAATGGGGCTGGAATAAATAAAGTGAAAAAATAGTTTACACTAAAACTGAGCCTTAACAAGGCATTGTTACCATTCTGCAATCCATTTCTTTATTGTGCATTGGTGTTTTGCCTGTGTAAGGGTGTCAGGTCCCCTGGAACAGCCAGCTGTGAGCTGTCACATGGGTACTGGGAATTGAACCCGGGTTCACTGGGAGAACACTCGGTGCTCTTAATCACTGAGCCATCTCTCCAGCTCCCACAGCCCGTTTTCTTATGCCAGTACTTGGGGCTCTGATTCTTCAGGAAACATTTGCTGTCGGGCTTGTCTGCCCCACTTCCTGCCTCTGCTAGATGAGGACACAAATGCCCACATTTGTGATAGACTGAAACACTGGTGATAGTCCTGGTACTGGCCGAGCTGAGACTGGAGCCCAGTGTCACTGAAGACCTGGCCAGTCGTCTCCCACTGTTTTCGCTATGCCATTTACTTATAAAAAATAAAGAGGGAGGTCGATGAGATGACCCTGTGAGTGAAAATGCACAAGCTTGGCAGCCTGAGTTCATTCCCCAGAACCACCCATGTTAAAGTGGAAGGAGAGAACTGACTCCATAAAGTTGTTCTCTTCATTCATTCACACACACACACACACACACACACACACACACACACACACACACACACGAACATATGGTTCATTCTAAGGCCTAATGAGCCATCAGCATAGTTAAGTAATGACCATAAAGTGTCACAGAAACGTAATGTGAGATGACCTTATTGATGAAGACCATGGGCTTCTTTTGCCTCAGTGATAGGATATCCTGTTTTCTCATTAATTGAGGGAGAAAAGGATTCAACAAACTGTTCTGAGATGTAGGAAGCCATGTGCCAGAAGTGGGGAGAGGCCCCGGGAGCTAAAGGTAGCCTCAGCTGCTAGCCATGAACTGAGTAAACTGTTATTACAGTCGCTGTGGTTCTTGTCTTGAAATCGTGTCACCTGTTTGTTGAAAGGCTTTTGTGCTGCCATCTCATTTCCCCCTAATCTCAGTGCTGCAGCATCTTGCAAAGCTCTTAACATTTAAGAGAGTTAGAGTGCGACTCTGAAAGGGAATCTACATGGTCATTATTTGTGTGAGTCTCAACTGCATGGACTGCGTCTCACAGGATTCTTTTCCCTGGAGGAGGGATTTGGGTGGTGTCTCAGCATTTGCCCTTGTCCTGTCCCATCTCTCTGTAGGGATCTTGCCTCCACACCATGACTCTCATGCCCAGGTGATGGCCTATCGCAAAGATCAGTACTCTGATGTCCTTCATGCCCTGAGAGTAGTTCGCTTCATCAATGATGCCACCCCTCAGGTTGAAGTGTATCTTCGCATGTATCAGCTTGAGTCTGGGAAGTTGCCTCGAAGTCCCTCTTTTCCGCTGGTGAGTGGTCATTCTCACTTGACATTTAACTCAGCCCTTTTCCTAAAAATTACTTTTTGCTTTGTCTGTTAATGTGTTGGCAGAGCTGTGGATCGAACCTAGGTCCTCAGGAATGCTAGGCAAGACCACTGAGCCACACCTCTAAGACTTTATTCTTGCTAGCTTCTGTTGCATAATGTTTTGCCTTAGAAACTTTCAGTGGTTTCCTATTGTCGGTAGAAAGAAAAATGAAAGCAAAATGAAGGGCCTGAGATCTATGGTCCTGAACGGTCAATGTTAGTTACTTTAAAAATGTATTTTGTTTTTAGCACAGCCACACATTGCTTAATGATGGATATGTGTTCTGAGAAATGTGTCATTGGACATTTGCTCATTTGCAAAATCATGTATTTATGTTTGCTCAAACTCGGATGACTGTGACTTTACTAGGCAGTTTAATCATAGAGGATCACTACCCTAGTCCATGGCCGACTAAAACGTTATTATGTGATACATGAGTATAATCTCAGACTTGAAATGCTACCAAGAATGTCTTTATCTTTTTACTGACATTTCCAGTTGTTAACATTTAATGACACCTGCTTTGCTACTCTCCCCTATATATGCATTAACCTCCTCCCGCCTCCCCTCCCTTCCTTCTTTAAAACAATTATTTAATTTTAGGTAGGTGTGTGGGTGCTTTGCCTACATGTATGTCTGGGTGCCACTTGCATGCCATTGGATTTCCTGGAACTGGAGTTGCAAATGGTTGTGAGCTACCATGTGGCTGCTGAGAACCAAGCCCTTGTCCCCTGGAAGAGCAGCCAGTGCCATCTCTCCAGCCTCACATTTGTCTTCTTTTGAGACAAAGTCTCTCTATGTATGCAGCGCAGGCCAGCTTCCAACTCAATATCCTCCTGCCTCTGCCACACGGGTGCTGGGATTATCGGCGTGCGCTGCCATTTCCGGCTGTGCACACATACTTCTTTGTATAAGCCGTGAGAGAGCAAGGGTGAGTCCGGAGGTTCTGTCCTTCAGCATGTTCCTCATGGAGACAAGGCATCTCTGTAGGTGAGCACGGCACAGCTATGACGCCAGGGAGTCAGCACTGTAACAGCACTCAATCTGACCTACAGGCTCCATTCTTATTTCCCCGGTTGTTTTAGGGACACCCTTCATCACAAATAAGCAAAAAGTCTAGTTGCAGATTTGATTTTGGACCATGAATTACACTGAGTTGCCATGTTGCTGTGGACACCTTTGCTTTTGGACGGTCCTCTGTCTTTCTCTTTCGTGCCCTGGACACTTTTGACAGGTGCTGGTCAGTGATTGTACAGAAAACCCCTCACCTCGGGTCTGGTAGTGCTTCTTCCTGGTGCGATCCAGGCTCTTCTCTTTGGCAGGGACACCCATGGGTGATGCGTCCTCAGTGTGCCGGGTCAGGAGGCTCACTGTGGCTTTGCCTTGTGGAACACTCATTAACTTTGATCCTTTGGTAAGGCAGTGCCTGCTGGGTTTCTCCTGGGAAGTTACTCTGTCTTGCTTTGTAATCACTGTTTCCCTTAGTGGGGGAGACATTTAAAACCGCTACGTAATTATCCTCTTCCTTATTAAAGTTTGGCTCATACATTTGACCATTCTTTGATTGATTTAAATTGTGTGTGTGTGTGTGTGTGTGTGTGTGTATGTATTAGTCTTTCATCTTTAAGTAATTTTGGACACAGAAGAAAGTTGTAAAACAGTACGCCACCCCCATACACCTTTGCCTAGCATCCTCAGGTACTGGGTCTTCCAAAACTGCAGTTTGATGATGACAACTTACAAATCCGCTTTGACAGTGGTCTAGGAGTTAAGCTGTACACCTTTTTGAGATCTTGCTGCTTGTCCCCCCTGATGCCACTCTGATCCCGGACCCAGTCATGGATCAACTTAGTTGCCATCTTGTTCCTAAACCCACTGGTCTTCAGACTTCTTTGCTTTTCCGTGACCTTGGCACTTTTGAAGAGCACGAGTCTGTTCGGGATTTCTCCATCTACCTGATGTTTCCTGATGACTAGAGCCTGGGTGTACTTTATTGGCAGGATAGCAAGAGAAGTGCTGGTGGCTTTGGTCACTCGGTGCAGGTGCTGCCTGCCAGGTCCCTCCCCTGTAAGCTTACTCTTCATGATTAGTGAGTAACTCGTGCAAAGGAACTCTGGGGTTTTTCATATATGTATATATAATGTGTATGTGTGTGTATATGTATATACATGCATGGTATATGCTCACATATACATACATATGTGTACACACACACATATATGTATATACATACACACATATGTATACACACACACACACACACACACACACACACACACACATATATATATATATCTTTTTTTTTTCTTTTTTTTGAGCCAGAGTCTCACTGTGTAGCCCTGGCTGGATGGGCACTATCTTGAACTCACAGAGCTCCATCTGCCTCTGCCTCTTGCATCTTGGGATTAAAGGTGTGTCACCTGCATGGAATTTGGGGGCTAGTAAATACCCTCCCTATTATTATTATTATTATTGCCTAAAATGTTTTACTGCTCTGATCACCAAATGGTGATTCTCTAAGAATTCCTGAATTCTTTCTGCACCCGTTAGCTGCATCTATAAGAGTTTCCCTTTGCATTTATTTATTGATGTCATTGTGGATGTATGGAGCCTATAATACTTTATTGCCTTTTTTCCTTTTGATGTTCAAAAGGCTCCAGCTTCGGCCATAGGAGCCCCTTTCATCCGACGCCTGTGTCTGTTTGATATGTTCACTGTTCTGAATGTTTCCTGACATTTTCTCACAAAAAGAAGCTCCAGGATCAGCTTTCACTTCCTGTGCTGCAGCTCTGGCCTGAGCCTTTGTTTCTGGTCTCCTGGGCTGTTTGCTTTTAGGCTCACTTAGTAGACAGAAGTAGAAAATAAGATATGAGTATGTATATATACCCATATGTATTTATACATGCCAAGCTGTCTCTCATTCTCTCTCTCTCTATATATATATGTGTGTGTGTGTGTGTGTGTGTGTGTGTGTGTGTGTGTGTGTGTGTGTGTGAAAAAAATAGTGAAAAAAATAGAGATGTTGTGCTGCTGGGCGTGGAACCAGAGCTTCATGCATGTCAGACGAGTGCACTACTGCTGAGTGATACCTCAGCCTCTCTATATTAGTCTGTGTCTCTCTGTATTATAATGTTATACCTCAGCCTCTCTATATTAGTCTATGTCTCTCTGTATTATAATGTTATACCTCAGCCTCTCTATATTAGTCTGTGTCTCTCTGTATTATAATGTTATACCTCAGCCTCTCTATATTAGTCTATGTGTCTCTGTATTATAATGTTATACCTCAGCCTCTCTATATTAGTCTGTGTCTCTCTGTATTATAATGTTATACCTCAGCCTCTCTATATTATTAGTCTATGTCTCTCTGTATTATAATCAAAATCCTGGGTTCACGATGGTAAGTCCAATTCCAACCCAATATTGCAAGTTCATTTTAGCCTTCCCTAGGACAGCTGCAGATATGAAAAAGTTCCCATTATCCTGAGGTGTTTGCTCCTGGCTCATGTTCTGGTTGATGTTGTCAGCCATTCCTGGCCACTTTATTGCAATTGTCTAGGTATTTTAATGAAGGTTTAATTTATTTGGCTAAAACAGGATGAAATTTTCAAGCAATGATTTATACAAAAGTTTTGATTATCTACAAAATTTGTTTTTAAAGAAGATTGGGCTTTGTACCAGGTGTGGCATCACTGACCTCTAACCCAGTACTCAGAGGCTGAGAGGAGGGCTCTTGAGTTTGAGACCAGATACATAGTGAGATCTTGCCTCAAAAAAATTGACTTATTTTATATATGTCTTATTATATATATTATATTTGTAGGAAGTTAATAGAGTTCCTGTGACAAATTAGCATTAATGAAGGCCATCCATTCATTCTTATTATGCCTTTATGAAGAGGCAGTAGAGCCCCAAATGTTAATGCCATCTAGGGTAATCTCATTTTCCTATTCCTGAGCATCAGCACTGTGACATTGATAGAACCACAGGAGCTCTGTGGTTCTGGGACTGAATCTGTGGCCTCTTAGGTGCTAGGCACATGCTCTACCACTGGGCCACATCCTTTACTTTACCTTTACTGAGTTGCCCCGTTGCATCCTTTACTTTACCTTTACTGAGTTGCCCCGTTGCATCCTTTACTTTACCTTTACTGAGTTGCCCTGTTGCATCCTTTACTTTACCTTTACTGAGTTGCCCTGTTGCATCCTTTACTTTACCTTTACTGAGTTGCCCCGTTGCATCCTTTACTTTACCTTTACTGAGTTGCCCCGTTGCATCCTCCTACCTTAGTTTCCTGAGTAGCTGGAAGGACAGACCCATACACAGGCCCATACACGAGAAGGGCTGTGCGTTCTTGAATTGCACATCAAATACGGTTACTTACTCCGTTAGTGTAAGCATTCTAAACTCTAGACATGCTTTCCGCTCGTCCCTGCTCACTGGTCCATGAGCCCAGACCTTCCCTGCACTCTCAGGTCCACTTACTGTCTGAAAATGGTGGAGACTGTCTCCCCACCTTTCCCTATACACCCAGCCCCTCTTACACTGTTATCCGGGGGTAAGAGCATGTGAGTGCTCAGCTGGAGCACAGTTGGACAAAGGACATTAGTCTCCTGTGACAGACCAGCCTCCATATTTGTTTACCCCAGAGACTCTAGAGGAATGAGGGATAAGAGACTTAGTTAGAAATACAGAGTGGAGAGAAACAGAGAGAAAACACAGGATAGATTCGAGTGGGCCTGGGTCCTGATCCACCAGCCCAGAACTTTATTCCAAAGGTCTGTTTATAGCAATACCAAGGGGTGGAGTAAAAGACCTCCCCCTTGCTAGGTACAACCAAGTGTAGACCCTTCCTAACACCTGGTACTCAGGCCCGTGGTCCAGTCAACCTCTTATGCAGTCCTGCTGAGTACAGCCACTAGGAACCTAGTGGGCTCCAACAGTCTCCCCTTGACCTGTCAGAGTGACGGGGAGCAGCCCATGACATGCCATCTGCAGGGTCACCTGGGCCAGGCCTGGGACTGTGGAATCCCTGGAGATTCCCTTTCCTTCTTGCTCCTTCGTGTCCACCAATACTCTAGTAATGTTTAGAGAAATACATTTCCTTTAATCCTAACTCTGTGACTCCTTGCATGTTGTGGATATCACTAAGCTGAAAGAAAGCCTAAGACTGAACTGCTTTTGATCAAAACGGGAATTTTGATTTAGCTTGGGGCTTCTCAGGGGAATAGAAAGGTATTTCTTAATTTCCTTTTAATCTTAAAAGTATCAAACTATGAAAGCCTAGATGAAAATGTAAGGTTTCTCATTTGCTTGTTTTTGTTTTTGCTTTTTTGAGATAGGGTTTCTCTATGTATCCCTAGCTGTCCTGGAGCTCCCTCTGTAGACCAGGCTGGCCTCGAACTCCCAGAGATCTGCCTGCCTCTGCCTCCTGGTTGGTTTTTTTGTTTGTTTGTTTGTTGTTGTTGTTGTTTGTTTGGTAGGTTGGTTTTTGGTGTTGATGGCAATGTTTGAAAACAAAATAACCTTCTAAATAGAGTTCAGTTTTAGAAAATTCGGAGGGTTTATTTTCATGTTTGATTATTAACAGATCTGAGAAATGTCACTCTCCTGCTCCTAAAATTCTGATTCTGGGCTGTTTAAACTTTTAGGTAGAACAGCATTCTAAAGCTGTGTATGGAAGCTTTCGTGGAAAGCAGTGTTTTGTGAGCCCATTGGGAGTCCCCAGTGTTCATAAGCTGGGTCCTGCACGTATTCCTAAACGGTTTGTGTCATCACATCCCTTTGAAGGAGCCCTGATCTAGCGTGGAGACTGGCTGGTGGAGAGACACCCTGCCTGGTCTGTGATTGCGGCGGACCCCACCCGAGGGCCAGCTGTTGTTCAGCTGTTCTGACTCCCATGGTTCCCTGTAGCTGCCTATCCTTCCCTTCTCCACGCTGCCTTCTGATGCCTCTCTGACTTGTGAATGTGTCCTCTTCAGGATTCAGTATTACATTATCAGGAAGGAAACATATTCCCCTCTGCCGCCTCCCTCTTGAGCTTTCTCACTAATCTTTCAGGAGCCGGAGGATGAAGTCTTTCTGGCCATCGCTAAAGCCATGGAAGAGATGGTGGAGGATAGTGTCGACTGTTACTGGATCACCCGATGCTTTGTGAAGCAGTTAAACAGCAAGTTCCGGGACTCTTTGCCTCAGCTGGTAAGGAAGGGGTTTTGGTTTTGTGTTTTTGAATGGGAGTATTTCGGGGAATAAGCAGTGTGGGGACATCCCTACCCCAGTTGCTGAGCTGTGGCTGGGGGACCCTCTAGAGTAGCTTCCGGCAGATGTTTTCTGCAAAGGCCAGAAAGTGTTTCCCATGGAATGGGCCCCGTGTGTCCTTTGCAGCCTCTGGATCTGCGGTTGGAGCACTGCCGGCTCTCTGGGGGTGGGCTCACTTGCAGACCCACCTGCTCCAGAGTAGTCCTGACCCGGGTCCAGACCCTCTGGCTTGTCTAGCACGGTCCCTCTGTTAGTTAGGGTTTCTGTCTGCCCAAGTGTATGGAAGGCCTAAGTGATAGGACCTTTTTCCCACATAGCATCAAGTCCAGAGCGAGGGCAGCCAGAGCTGGTGGATGGGACTTGAGGCTCCTGTCATTTTGTTCCAGCATGCACATATGTACACACATATACATATGAACACATGAAATGAATTACTCTGTACATGAGCCCTTCCTTTTGTTTGTTTGTTTGTTTGTTTGTAACTCAGTACTTGGGAGAATTTCTAGGCTCACTCAGATAAACCAGTGACTTTCAGTTCTGACTTCCTGTTAGTACACCAGAGATCTGAAAAATTTCTTATCCCCTTTCCTCTTCCACCAGACCAGTGAAATCATAGTCTCTTGTTTGGGGCCCAGAATTCTAATGTTTCAAAGCCTTGGGTAATTCTGATTGTAGCTAGGATTGACAGCCTCTCATTTATAATCGCTTTTCCTACATAATTTACTCAGTGTTTCCACTTAGGAATTTGCTGTAATTAAGTCTAATAGTCCCACACTGACAATAAACAGGCCCTTGCTCCTGTGTGTGTGTGTGTGTGTGTGTGTGTTTTGACTATGTGGAGGGTGTCCTAGTTTGGGCAGCTTTACATCTTAAACTGGCAAGCAGGTCCTGAACTTGTCTGCTGCACAGATACCAGGCTCTCAGTCTTGTCCTTCAGGCAGGGACTCTGCCCTCTTGTTCTGTTTGCACAGCTGTGAGGGCCAGTGAAGTTGATCAGCTCTACAGATTTTTATTGTTTTCTTGGCTAGAGTGTGTGTGTGTGTGTGTGTGTGTGTGTGTGTGTGTGTGTGTGTGTGTGTGTGTGTGTGTATGTTTTGAGGCAGGGTTCCATGTAGCCCAGGTTTGCCTTGAACTTGCTATGCACCTGAGGATGACCTTGAACTCCTGATCCTCCGCGCATGCTCCACCACACCTGACTTTTTTCTTTGTGTCATCAATATGCTCTGCATATTATCCTTTATGTATTAATATGATGACTGTACTTTTTCCCGTTTGCTGTTTAGACTGTAAACTTCATACATTGATGTCTCTCAGTGTTTTCTTTTTTCGTACTTTATATTTTCTGTATCCCTTGCCAACTCCACAATTGATAAAACATATTTCTTTAGCTGGATGTGGTGACATATACCCATAATCCTAACACTCAGAAGGTTAAGGCAGAGGATCAGGAGTTCAAGACCAGCCTGGGCTATATGAAACCCTATCTGAAAAAAACCAAAACACCTTCCTCCCCCGTATTTTTTCTCCTGACTTTAAAATGCTCCGAGAGTTGAAGCTTAGCTCTGACTTGTCTGCCTTGATCTTTGACTGATGTCAGATGTGGTGGATTTTACTCCTTGGTACCTGTCTGTAGCAGCATGGGTTCCCCCAGCATCCTGGTCTCCTCTTCATCTTGCTTAGAGTGTCAGGACCACTTTTAAGAATGAGTTACTTCATTTAAGCACATAAGTCCATGTTTGCAGACGAGGACACTGAAACTCAGAGAAGTCCACTGCCCAAGGTTACACAGTGACTGCCCTAACTCCCGTTTGCGTTATTCATTATCAGTAGTATTACATTTCACACTATTTATTTACCAGTTCACCTTTTTTTAAAAACAGAATCTTAGGGCTTCACACATCATAGGCAAGAGCTCTGTCACTAAGCTGTATTACAGCCCTTTGTTTTTGTTTGTTGAGAGCAGCAATGGGGGGCTGAGTTGGGGGTGAGAGAAGGAGAGGCCTTGGAAATGGAGCCCAGGTCTTTGCTACATCCTCAGCTCTTCTTTACATTTTATTTTGAGACAAAGTCCTGCTAAGTTGCCCAGGCTGGCTTTGAACTTACAATCTTCTTGCCTCAGCCTCCACCACAAAGCATAGAACATAGGTTCTTGGTACAGCCTAGTTTCTATAACCTTGTTCTGCCATCATTTTATACTTTTGTGATCTGCCTAAATAGATCTGTTCCCACGCAGGATAGGCTGCTTTATAGCTGCAGGAAGAGTGCAGGCAGCAGTGCTGCGGTCTGGGGTGGAGCCAGCGGTGGAATGCTTACCCAGCATGCCAGGCTTCCATCTCCAACTGAGCCGGAAAGCGGGGTGGGGGAGCGGTAGAGGGCTGGCCGAGCAGTTAAGAACACTTGTTCTGGCAGAACACCTGGATTTGGTTCCCAGCATTCACGTGGCAGCTCACAACTGTCTGTAACTCCAGTTTCAGGGACTCTGATGCCCTTTTGACATACATACAGGCAAACACTCACACACAAACTAAAACAAGCAAATCTTTTTAAAAGTTTGGAGTAGATAATTGCAGCATAAAGAACGGAAGAAGATGGCATGCTCCTGATGACAGTGAGTGCCCTGCTGGAGTGCTCTGCTCCCTGGGACCACACCATAGTTTCCTCCAGACTTCCCAGAGTCCAGCCCTCTGACAAGGTCTCTCACTGCCAGGGAGCTTAGAAGCCAGTTTTATTGTCTTAATTACGAATTTAGAGTTGGGGGCGGGGTTGGAGAGATGGCTCCATGGGTAAGAGCATTTGGTGCTCTGACAAAGACCTCCATTTGATTCCCAGCACCCAGATGGCAGCTCACAACCACCTATAACTCCAGTTCCAGGGAATCTAATGCCATCTTACAGTTTTTGTGGATAACAGGCACACACATGGTTCACAGACATATATGCAGGCAATCTTTTGTAGAGAGAAAGGGGCAGGTAGATAGCTCGGTGAGTAAAGGCCCCTGCTACCAACCTAAAAAAAAAATGTGGCTACCCCAATGAAAGAAGGTGCCTTTCCTTAAGTAACTAAAAGGGCAAATCCGAGAGAGGAGGAGCTGCCTTCATGCCGTATTGCTGAAGCTGGCCAGCGTGACTGCATCCCAGTCTTTAGAGTTATCTCAGGTGAGAGAAGCTGCTGGACAACCCAGCTGCTGTTCCCAAGTGGAGCTGCTTCTCTCTTCCAGAACATTCTCACCCATATTATGTTGGGTACAGAGTTTGTTCCACTGGCCCTCCCTAATGCCTTAGCCTCCTTGGTACTGGAGGCCAATGCAGACCAGTATGGTCAGTGTGTGTGTGTGTGTGTGTGTGTGTGTGTGTGTGTGTGTGTGTGTGTGTGTGTACTATTAACGGGGGTTGGGTGCCCTCTACGTTTCTTCACCTATTCCTTTGAAGTAGCTTTTCTCCCTGAACCTGGGCTTGTATTTTCTTGGCTGGAAGCCAGACAGCTCTTGTGATCTTCCTGTCTCTGCCTCTCTTGGGAGCTGGAGTTACAGTCATGCATGGGATGCCTAGCCTGTTACATGGGTGCTGCCATCTGAGCTCTAGTCCTCATGATTATACAGCAGAGGGGCAGTTTCTGGAGCCCATGCTTTCGGCTTCTCGAGACAGGCTCTCCTATGTGGCCCAGGCTGGCCTCAGACACCCTGTTGTACCTCAGAGTCTTGAATGCTGAGGTTAGATGTTTGCTCCACCTCAGCCAGCTTTCTTTCCCCTTTTCATCTCTGTATGATTGGTTGCTCCAGATCACCCAGTATTGCCGTGGGCCTGTTGTACCTTTCCATAATACTTGACTCTTGCTTTAGAATCTGCTTTGCTTTAGCTGTTGGAGCTGATTAGTTCAGTACCAGGGTGACAGCCATGCCATTTTGCCTGGTTATTGTCCTGTGGGATGAACATAGGAAGAGGCCTGCATCCCGAGAAAGCCCTCAGGTCCAGTGTGGTCACCCTTCTCAGTACTAACCAAAAACTGTTGTGTTAGGACTGACTTGATGGTTCCCAAGTTTTGTCTTCTAGCACTTTCTCTTACTTAGCATGTACATTTTTTCTGCCTAAGTTGCAGCGTGAGGTGATATTATGTCACAGGAAACGAGTAATCATTTTTGCCGTGTCATCTTTAGCCCAAGGCCTTTGAGCAGTACTTGAATCTGGAAGATAGTAGACTGCTGAGTCACCTGAAGACGTGTGCTGCAGTGTCCAAACTTCCTTATGATCGCTGGTTCAAAAGGTGCTTTGCGGGATGCCTGCCTGAGTCCAGTTTACAGAGGTACGTGTTTTTCCCATTGCATACAGGCAGTTTGGAGTCGGAAAGAGTTCCTGGCCCTTCTGTGATCATCCCTCTAAATTGGAGTTTGTTTCAGAACAAGAAGGCGATTCAAAGCTACATTCCCTAGCAGTTTCTGTAACTGTGACGTGGTTCTCCTTGTTATTGAATGCATGTCTACAAAGATTGTGGTCCTCTGTGCGGTTGCTGTGAGGGAGGCAGTGATATCTGAAACAGTGTGGGCCTGCGTGCTTCTTTTCTAGACAGGTGTTGGTTCCTGACAGACAGATGCCTTCGTATTTCTTAGACATTTCATGACATCCTCAAAAGAGCTGGATGCTGTCAGAGACAAACTGTGTGTCTCCAGTCCTTTGGAGACACATGTTAAGGGTATTTCTTAGTTCCAGCCTCACAACCCAGGTCCTTGTGATGTTGTTTTGAAGAAAGGAAGTCAGTATATAAAGAGCATTAGAAGAAAATGTGTAACTTAGCATACAGAGTCTAATACCAACTTCAGAAGTTATAGGAATTATCAAATGATTATTTTAGAGTAATAGTAGATCAAGGACTGGCTCCTGGGTCTTGGGAAGGGCTCAGTGGGTACAGCTGTTTGCTGTATAAACATGAAGACTTGAGTTTGGATCCCCAGCACCCATGTACAAAGCCAGGTGTGATGGCGTGTCTGTAAACCTAGCACTGGCAGGTGTCTGTGGAGACAGGCAGGTCCTTGGCGCTCACTAGACAGCCAGTCTAGCCAACTGGTGAGTAGGAAGTTCAGTGAGAGACTATCTCAAAAAATAAAGTGGAATGTTGTGTGATATTCTGATTGTGTTCTGACAAATAAAGCTTGTTTGGAGTCAGAGGGTGGAGCTAGCTACTGACCATAGAGGTCTGGAGGACTGAGGACAGCTAGCATACAGGAAATAGTAAGGCAGGGCTGAGAGAGGATCTTGGCCTTTCTGGATGGAGGAATGGAAGAGGTAGGAAGCAACTGGTGGCTTCTCCCAGTTCTCTGATCTTTCAGGTTCTTACCCCAATGTTTGATTCCCGATTTTTATTGATAAAGATTAATTAAATTAAAGCTTCTTTTGGCACCCAACGTGGGGCACCATATGTAATTGGAGTTTTCCTGTCCTGCCCGCCAGTTCTCAATTAACTGACTCAGAGGCTGAATATAAATTATAAATGCTCAGCTGATAGCTTAGGCTTGTTACTAGCTAACTCTTACATTTAAATTAACCCATTTCTATTAGTCTATGTATTGCTATGTGGCTTGTGGCTCTACCTCCTCTAGCATGTCTTACTTCCTGGGTGACTGGCTGGCGTCTTCTGACTCTGCCCTCCTTCTTCCCAGCATTCTCAGTTTGGCTTTCCTTTCTAACTTCTGCCCAACTACCAGCCTGTCAGCTTTTTATTAACCAATGAGAATAATACTTACTCATAGTGTAGGAAAGGATTGTTTCACAGCAGTGGAACACAATAGAGGGAGCTACCCTACATCAAGCCCAGTCTCAGCAAGTGTTTACACATATGTGTATGTGTGCCTAAACACAGGCATGTTACATACACACTCATAAAGAGCCTTTGGATAAGTTCAGAGAACCTATTCCAGGCTCACTGGCAATGAAAAATGACTTCGCCTGACATTTTGTCGTCCTGAGGTGTGTACTAACCATGCTGGCATTGCATGACTGTAGCAGGATACACACCCTGGTTAGGACTTTCTTTTCCTTCACTATCAACTTCTCCGCAGGCATTTGGAACACTCAAACACAGCAGTAGCTTTAAGTGAACTTCACTTTTCCCACATAAAGCTATCCTATCTAGAATCTATCATGTTGTTGATACTGAGTATTTCACAGTTGTTCTCTGAAACATGTACTTAAAATGAGTGGAATTTGATTTTATTTCATAATCTGAGATATCTGGTAACGTCAATTTTGCACTCCTGTAATTTGGTGAACTCTCTGTTTTGTAGGGTCTGGGATAAAGTTGTAAGTGGATCCTGTAAGATCCTAGTTTTTGTAGCAGTAGAAATATTATTAACCTTTAAAATAAAAGTCATGGCATTGAACAGTGCGGAGAAGATAACCAAGTTCCTGGAAAACGTGAGTGCTTTGTCTCCTTGGATTTGGAATCTGGAAATGGAGGCAGCCTGGCAAGCCAGATTTTCCTATTGTGTTATATTAATAGCATGTTTTTACTTTGCAAAAGCATTTTGTTGTTGTTGATTTGAGATTGTGATTTATGCTGTAACTCATGCTGGCCTGGAACTCTCTATATATCCCAAGCTGCCTCCAGTTCTTGGTAATCTTCCTGCTCCTGCTTCCTGGATGCTGGGATTACAGTCAAGCTTGCCACTTCTGGCAAAAAAAAAAAAAAAAAAAAGTTATTTTTCCTTAACAGCATTGCTGTCCCCCCCTCTTCTCTTTGGGGGGTGGGTGTTGGTCTGCACAGCAGGCCTCTCACACTCCCGGTGTGTGAGTATGGTGGGGTAGCCTCTCCTCTCCAGAGAGCACAGCAGGAACAGGAAGCAGTGTGAATGAGCACTGTTGGGGGTTCTCTAGGCCTTTTCCTGCCGCTGGTGAATTCCCAGCTGGGTCAGTTAATGCGTAATGCGCCTAAGTATTATTAGTGCTTGCTGAAAAAGGCCTTAGTGAACCAGCTCCTCCTCCCTCTTAGAACATTCTCTCCTGGGTAAATAGTAAAGAGATTGAGCCTGCAGAGAGTACATTATTATGGAGCAGATTCAGAATCCCCCCACCCCCTTTAATTAACCAGCTTTAACATGGGAAGTGTGGCCTGGTAAATAATAAGAGATAAGTGAATGTGTATGTGTTCATTAAATGAATCATCATTATTATACTAATTAGTGTCCAAGAGTGCTAGACATGTGCCACGCAAGAGCTATCTTCTGTCATCCTGAGAACAGCTCTGTGAATTTGGGCTGTTGTTCCTCTGTTTAGAGATCAATGCTAGACCTTAGGCAGCTGAGTACTCATCCAGGGCCAAGTGGTGAGTGGACAGTGAAAGATTGCCTGGTACCAGAGCTACTCAGTATGTCCCCAGGAGCACTGAATCATTCCAAATCTGCTATCGCTTTCCAAAACCAGAGAAAGCTCCATGGAAACAGGTCTGTCACAGAAGGAGAGATGATCCTGAGGAACAAACACAGACATTTCACTTGGATTTCCTTGTTTTTCACAGATTCCTCAGGACAGCTCAGACGCTATTGTGAGCAAGGCCATCGACTTGTGGCACAAACACTGTGGGACCCCAGTCCATTCAGCCTGACAGCTTGCGACGTTGTGGACAGTCTGCAGACCCCCCCTGAGCACATTGTCCATGTCACTTGGTCTACTAACTGTTTAGAAATGGTAATCTTGCTGTGGTGCTCAAAATGCAACACCCCATCCCCTACTTAGTAAAGTAATTTAATCACAATGCCTGGTGCAGTGTCTGCTGGTGACGCCCACACGCAGCTCTGGGATGGTGTTTGAAAGGGTGGTTAGAAAATCCTCCTGGTGCTTGGGCAACTCAGGTTAGGTGCAGCCTGGGTATGCTAGGAAAGTACAAGTGAAGCCCTGCCTGCCTCTAATGCGTACACGGTACTTAGGCCTCTTTCTGGAAAAAGAACAGCTTTCTTTTCTTGGCGCCTCGGATTTGGCTTTTGCCTTCTGTTGACGTAGAACCTGTGTAAGTGTAAGCCGACGGCCTTCTCATGCTCTGTCGTGCTAAACTGGCTTAAAAACAGTCCTTGTGTTTTCTTACATGGTCCCTGCTCCTCTTTTGCCAGCTGGACTGAACTTTTTTTTTTTTGAGACAGGGTCTCATTCTGTACTTTGCTTTCTGGAACTCATTATATAACTGGCCTTGAACTCCTGGCAGTCCTCCTGCCTCAGCCTCTTGAGTGCTGGGATTACTGGCACGAAGCTTTTATTGAATAAAACACCTCTAAATTTACCTTCTAGGAGAGAGCACTTACTTGATATTTGTGGGTCTCTTGGTGTTTTCTACCAAATCATTAAATGTCAGGTGGACTTCCCAGCACCCTCTGCTACCACAGGACTAGGAGAGGTGGCAGGCTAAGGTTAGTAGCCATGATCCTCAGGCCATATTCTGTCACATAATGGTCACCCTTCGTGAAGCGTTTGATGACTTTGAGACTGGTGAGTGAAATGGGGCCCTTGTCTCAGACTTACTCAGCTCACAGTCCTGCAAGAGTTTTTGTACCATCCTCCCCCTACACAATGAGGCCGGGAGATGATGAAATTATGGCGTTATACTTCTGAGAATCCAGTCCCTCCCTAATGTGTGAAACAGCTGCTGACAGAGGGTTGAGAAGAAATGGAGCTCCTGAGAGCAGCTGCAGAGGTCAGTCTGTAGAGTACCAGACAAAGGGAGTCTTTAAAAACGACTAGCAGCTCCACTCAGAAGAAAACCCTCTTAGAACAATTGCCACTTGCAGTGAGTACTTTAAATGATTCTCTGCCAGCCATTTATTTGGGAACCACTCCAGTAACCTGATGAACTTTGGAGACAGGGAAAAACACATGCAGAGGAAACAGCCCCAATTTCTTTCTTCCTAGTCATAGAGAATATGTGAAATTCACAGAGATAGATAAATTGTGTTCCTTCTCTGTGTGTGTGCATGTGTGTCCATGTGTGCAGTGTGAGTATACTTATATCTGTGTGTAGAGGCCCAAGTCAGTCTCTGGTGTTGTTCCTCAGAATGATCATCCACCTTGGTTTTTGAGACAGAGTCCCTCATTGAGACCTGTGACTTGCCTGTTAAGTAAGCTAGGCTAGAAGGATTGTGAGCCTCGGGGATCCTTCTGTCTCTGCCTCACCAGCTCGGTTACGAGCCCATGCTACCATGTTCAGTTTTTATCTGGGTGCTGGGGCTGGAACTTGGGTCCTCAGGCTTGTATAGCTCTCTCCCCAACACTGGTTACCCCCTTCAGTAGTCACGTATCATCTGAAGACACTTTTTAGTAAAATAGACATGGTGACATCTATTTATGTCAGTGAATCCCAATCCCAGAAGATAAAGAACTAGCAACCTCTAAATTGGAGGAGGGTCTATAAGTATGCAGCCCTGATTCAGGGGAGATGGGCTGCCCTGAGTGGGTGTGGGGAACCAGGAGGAGCCCTGCAGGGGGAATAGGCTTGGAGGCTGCAGTTACTCTTCCCTGCTGTTCCCCCAAGGTCAGAGGGTCTCACATGGAAGGCTCCTGCGGTGCCAGACAACATTTTGCATGTGTCCACTATCAAACCTAGTCTGGTGAAACCTGTCCATAAAGAATGAGGAATGAGTCAATGTGACACTGTGTATATTTTTCTTATTAGAAACTAAACAGCCAAGGGCTCTTTGAGAACTGAGAGCACACAGGAACCCACTGTTCCATGGCAGAAGTATCTGGAGAGAGCTCTGTTTAGCTTCTGCCTCCAGCTCTCCACCCCTAATAAACATGCCCCATGTTCCCTTTCTCCAGAGCACTGTCAAGATGTGGGGGAATGGCGGCTCCATGTTAAAGCCCAGCATGCTAGTCACAGCCAGAGCTGGAGCTAAAATGTGGATTCTCCTTGTTTGCAAAGCTGGGACTTAGTTCCTGTTCTGTCTCTAGCATCTTTACACACCAATGGCAGAAGCTCTACATTCACTAGGATTGGTGATACAACGGAAAAGGGATGTGTGGGTGTGTATGTTGGGGGAGCTGGTGTATATGGGGTGTGTGTATGTATGTGTGTGTGGATTGTATATGTGAAGGGAGCTGATATATATGTGGGTAGGTATATATATGGAATGTGTAATATCTGGTAGATGTGGAATGGGCGAGTATATATGTGGTGTATCTGTGGGTAGGTATATTTGTGGAGGGAGGCTGATATATGTGATGAGGGGGGTAGGTGTATATGTGGAATGTATATTTATGAATGTATATGTCAAGGGGGTCTGGTACATATGAGGTGAGAATATGTGACTAGGTAGGTATGTGTATAGAGTGTGGGGGAGTAAATATGTGGAGTGTGTATGTGTGTTGGGTATATGTACATGTAGAATGTATGGTAGATGTACATTTGTGAGGTCTAAGTATGTGTTGGAGTATGTGTGACTTTTGCCTCATGGTAGTTGGTGCTTTTGAGTGGGGAGGTGGCACAGAGTGGAGACTTTGGATGATCTGCTTCTAAGTGCCACCCTGCCTCTCCTGCCCTAGCAATTTGACGTCTGGCTCCTTGGTTTCCCTTCATCATGACTTCAGTGTGAGCACCCTCCTATTTATGGGGCAGCACTGAGTGTTGGATTGCTGGAGAGGACGCCTGGGGTCTGCCCTCTGGGAACCGATGATGTAATGGAATATAAGCAGCAACCAAGTCCGATTCCTTCTAGAAGCTGACAGCACCTTGCATCTCCTGAGCTGGCACATGGGTGGTGGTGGTCGTGGTGGGGCGGCAGGGGTAGAATGACTCTGGGCTTCAAGGTATCTGTGGAAGAGGAATCAGGAATAGCCTCCAGATAGGGGAGCAGGGAGGAGCCTCTGTGCCCATCACTGCTTCTGTGATCCAAGCCCATCACTCAGCTTTACTGTTCTCCTAGGCCTCAAACTTGGACTCTCATCCACATCCTGTCGTATACACATTGGTGTGTATCACACAGGTGGTTACTGAGTTCACAGCTGCATGCGGTGGTTCACACCTATACTCCCAGCTCTCTGGAGGTGAGGATGATGAATTCAGAGCCAGCCTGGGCTAGATGAGACTCTATCTCATAACAAGCAAACAAAAATGAAGTAACTCCCTCCCAAAACAAACAACCAATCCAGCACTCTGGAATGTGAATGTCTGAATCCCTATGGTTAGTTAGGGAAGGTTGAGCTGCTTTATCCTTCAAGGTCTATCTCAGTCTGTCCTGCTCAGAAGAGGCCCTTGTAAACTTCGAGGCTGAAAGCACACTGTATTTCCTCTGTGCTGCTAGCATTTAAGACATCCTCCATTTGTCAGGACTGGTTTGGGCTGTCTAGGGTTGTGGTGGTGGTGGTGGTGGTGGTGGTGGTGGTGGTGGTGGTGGTGGTGCTGCTGCTGCTGCTGCTGCTGCTGCTGCTGCTTCTTCTTCTTCTTCTTCTTCTTCTTCTTCTTCTTCTTCTTTCTCCTTTTTTGGTGGTTGTTTTTGTATTTAATTTTTTGAAGCCTTTGGGATGGAACCCAGGGCCTTATCTTCACGGAGCAAATGCTCTATCACTAATCCCCACCCCTGAACATAAAGACATAGATCCATTTTCAATCCTTTGTGTACAGATGATGGATGTGTGTGTTTGGAGGTGCAGGTGCGCACAGGTGGAGGTCAGAGAACCACCTCAGTTGTTGCCCCTTTCCTCACACCTTGTAGGGACAGGCAGGGGCTCTTGCTTTCCACACTCCGCACTGAGCAAGTGAGCCCTCCAGCTTCTGGGGGTTTTCCTGTGGTTCACCTTGCCGTAGGAGTGCTGGGGTCACAGACACACATTATTGTATCCAGTTTACATGGGGCTGGGGATCTGAACTGAGGTCTTCGTGCTTGCAAGGCGAGTGCTGTTCCCACTAAGCCATCTCCCTGGTTCCTTACATCTAGTTGTAAATCGGAGCACAGTACTCATGCATGTTTGTGGGCTGTGGTAAAACATTTCAGGATGTGCATACAGTGTGTGATGACTGCATGAGGTCACTAGCATATTTATTACCTTAGACATGTATAATTTCTTTGTGTTGGGGACATTCTAAACCCTCTCTACTATTTTAGAATGTTTAATTGTGGATTACAGTTATCTTGATGTGCTATAGAATATTGGAAGAATCTCTCATAACCAATGTCACCCTGGTACCTATCAGCATCTCCTGCCCACTTGGTGTGATTAAACTTTTCATGTCATTACCAAGACCAAGCTCCTTAAAGCCAGGACTATGCCTGGCACCCTTCCATCCAGTGTAGCTCCCAGACGTGGTCTCTCCCTGATGCCTACTTTGGGCATACTGTCTTTGCCTAGAGCTGTGACCCTCACCCCACAGTGGGCTCTATCCTCTGTCTGTAAGGCTCAGTTGAGGTGTTGGGTGGGTGAGCTGAATGCTTCTGTCTCCGGTGCTCAGAGCCATCACGTTTCTGTGGTACACACAGCCTCTGGGGCCAGTCTCTCGACTTGATTCTTAGATCTGTGGGTCTGGTTCAGCCATGGACCAATTAGTAGCCCCGGGGTGAAGGAACTCCACAGCCACTCATGGCTTCTAGGAGCCACTGGTGAGCCTTCATCAGCACAAGAGGGGTGTGCTCCTTGTGGCAAGGAGAACACCTCAGAAGCATGTGTGCTCATCAGATACCTGCCTTGCGGGTCTGAGGGGTCAGGGCACCTCCTGCTCAGCTATGTCTGAGTGGTTTGTTCTGCACCATTTACTTGTAATTTCTGCCAACTGCT